CGCTTCCGATGCTCTCCCCCATCCCAGCGGGGCAGGGGGAGTGAGCGAGCGGCTGCATGGTGCCTAGTTGCTGGCTGGGGCTAAACCACGACAACATGGCACCATGAGGAGCCGCAATGAGGGTGCCAAGGCAGTTTAGGGAGCTCAGGGGCTCCTAGGGATGGATAGGAGAGCTAACAGACTGGGGAGAGAGGTCATGGCTGGGATAGCAGGGGACAGCAAGGGAAGGTCATGCTGTTTTGGTGTAGTGGGAGAACTCTGCCCATGTGGACCTCCTATAACTCCTCCTCCCTGTCTCCTGGTTTGCTTCGCTTCATTGATCTTTCCCCTGAACTGATGGGTTCTGCCTCGCACCAGGGAATTCCCTGCTAATAAATGCTGAATTACAAAGTGCCAAACATAATTTTCAAATTTTGCTTTTAAAAAAAGAATAAAAATCTAAAATGCCTCATCAACTGAAGGTTGCCAAGCTCCCTGTTCAGCCGCCTTTGTGACTTGGCCTTGACTTTTGGTATTCGGTTAAAGTGTCTCCTGTGAAGTGGACTGGTAAAGATATTTCATTTAGTTTCCATTACTGTGGTAAGTAATGACACTGTGGACCACAGGTGAGAACTCTGGGTTATGAAGACCCTAGTCCCCAAATACAGGCTATGGAGGGATATTCACGCTGCACGCTCACACAGCCGTCTGGGAGCCTGGGGTCCTCTTTGCTGCTTGTGGAAGAAGATGGCTTCCCTGAGAGCTATTCAGAGTAGGAACCCAAAGTAGGTGCTGTGCAGATCTGGGTCTTGGTTAAGACCCATGCCTAACAGAGGTGGTGCGGATGCCTCTCTGCACTGTCTGGTTTTCGACCTTCTTTTATGGTAGGGTAGGGGTAGGGCAGGGTCGATATCCCCACAATCCCCGTCACCAGCCCTGAAATACACTGAGAGACGAAATATTTTGTCACAGGTCAAAGTTTCTCAACCTCCAAGGCATCGGTGAATTTATCCTAGCCTATCCATGATTTTCCCCTCTCCCAGCATTGTGTTATGCAGCAAAGCTGTGGGAGAAGTCGGGGTAGCCATGCCATCTTTTGCATCTTGAGCCCAGTCGTGTTGCCCTGTCCCTGGGAATCATTTGGGCATGGAAATCGCCTGGGGGTGAAGAACTCAGGGAGAAGAAATCTCAGCAACCTGCGTCCTGCTGCGCTGCTAGAGCTGCACAACTGATGGCCCGCAGCCTGAAGTGACACACTCTGAGCTGGGCTGGCTTTTCCTAAATGTTGTCAAGTATTTCCATGTGGGCTGCAATTTCATTTTCCCACAAAAAGTCTGTGAAAAAAAAATGGGTTATTTCATTAGCTTGTACCAAATTGCTTGCCTGTGAGCAAACAGCGAGTGGAATTTTGGATTGGTGGGGCTCAAAGAGCTGAAGTTAAAACTCTTGCAGAGTTGAAGCTGAGTTTCTCAACCTTGTTAAAGGCCTGGTTTAACAGGGCTCCTTCAAACCTGCAATTGCTAATTTGAGTTGGCAAATGTTAGCAACGAAAACTTCCTCCTCTCCTTCCCCTGGAGGGGAATGGGCAGAGAAACACAGATACAACATTTGTAAGGTTGGTATATTGATCCTTGCTAAACTATTTGGAGCGAGTTGGGTTCTGAAGTTCAGCAAAACCGATTATCTGCTAGCAACACAAGATGGCAGTGTGTAAGTGCACTTGCACAATAAAAAGCCTTTTCCGTGGCTGTAATCTTGTGTAAAAAAGGGTGGCATTTGCTAAATGATACTAAAGTTGCAATGTAATGAGAGTTGTAGAGAGAACTTTCTCTTAATCCTGGTCCTTTCTCCCCACCTGGCATCATTGGAGGCGCGGAAGGCAACTGAATCTAAGCAGTCTCATTTGATTTTTATCTGCCAGTTGGTTAATTAACTGCTACTTAAACCGATACTGAGTCGGGAGAGAAGTAAAGAGAACACTTCCTAGGAAGAAAAATAAACTAGATGGCTTCTAGTGGAAGGTTTTGGTGTATTTTGCTGGATTCTTTATTTATTTGGGTGTTTTTAAGATGCTGTTCAGGGAAGAAGAACCAATTGCTCTCCCTCCATTCATCAGCTTCAGACACTCTGTTTAAGGTTAAAACCCTTAAATGCAGGTGTCTACAGGTGAGCTTAGGCCTCTGCACTGCTATTAAAATCTGTGTGGATTAAGGGCTCGGCTCCGTTATTTATTATTGGATGTCTGGTGCTGCTTGGGATGTTGTCGAGTGTCCAGGACATCTGCCCAGGGCTGGGTGGGGATATGGTGCAAGTCTGGGAGATAGAATCATAGAATCGTTTAGGTTGGAAAAGACGTTTAAGATCATCCAGTCCAACCATTAACCTACACTACCAAGTCCACACTAAACCAATCAAGGGTAGACTAGACTAAACCATGTCCCAAAATGCCACATCTACCCGTTTTTTGAACACTTCCAGGGATGATGACTCCACCACCTCTCTGGGCAGCCTCTTCCAATGCTTGACCACCCTTTCCATAAAGAAATTTTTCCTAATTTCCAACCTCAACCTCACCTGGCGCAGCTTGAGCCCATTTCCTCTCGTCCTAAATACTCATGCAGCTGCTGATGCAGGTTTCGTGGGATGCTTTAGAGCATTTGAAAGGGCAGGAGAGATTTACGAGCAAGCATCTGAATCAAGCTCCTACAGACAGTGGAGCAAAGGTGTGATTTCATGGGCCACTGAATAGGTGTCTGCTGTCAGGTGAGGTGCTTGGCTGTCTAATCTTCACTGGCTTTAACAGGCACATGGATCCTAGCTCTCACGTAGACACCTGCATTTTTACATCCCTATGTTTACCTATCTTAGTGCTGACTGAATTCTTCCGAAAATATCTGAGAAACTGATTCAGCTAAATCCTTCATCTACCCTATATTTAGGCTTACAGGCTATCAGCTAATTAATTGCAATGTACATTTGAGTATGGCTTTGGAACTGAGTGGTCTCTGGATAGCAGCTCTGGTAGAGGGCAATGTTTAAATAAAATGGCACTTCAAAAATAGAAAATATTTTCTGTAATTTTCAGTGTGAACTTATCATGGGATTTTTCTAATACATAAGAACAAACAAATCAAGCATCTCAGAGTAAAAGTCAAGGTATTGCATATGCTCTTAGTTTGTTGAGATTTCTTTAAAATTTTTTTTTTACAGAAGATTTGTCAGAAATTTTGAACTCAATTACCTATGTATTCATCTCTTCACGCAAGCTGCAGCACCTCAGGCAATGATGGTTAGTGGTGAGATTTATGCAGCAAGCCCTTTGCTAGAACCCGGTGTCTGAATTCGGAGCTCACACTGATACCAGAAATGGGCAGAGCCAGTCTCATTATTTTCAGGAAAGCACCTCACAGGTGAACCCCGAGGAGGGTCCAGGTGATAAGTTCAACATTTCCCTTAGGTAAAGCTGTTGTAACATGCCCCACCTTGTCCCTTACGGAGGGTAAAAAGGCTTTGAAATCTGACAATTTGAGCTCAATGTGAAAACTGGTGAGCTTGCAGCAGTGTTTTAAGTTCCAACCAATCATTTGTAATGGATTAGCAAAACCTGTGCCGTGACTGTAATGGCAGGCTATTAGCAGCAGGCATAATTACATGAAAGAGCATCTTCATGCTGGAAGCTCTTCAGCATTTTCATTTTAGCTCTGTGCTTCTTGGGAGCTAGGGGCACCAACATAAAACAACATAGGAGGATGATGTAGAGCACTTGCTCACAAAAGGACGATTCTAGGGTGAGCAGTAGGGTATCAGTTTATTAAAACTGAAGCATTTTTTTAATTGGTTCAACCTACTGGAAACAAACTTGCCAATTAAGTAGCTGCTGTGGGCAATAAACACTCAAAAGAGAGGAGTTGTGCAATGGGAATTATTGG